CTTCTGGCATGGAGACGTCAAGGAATGCTGCGAATTCCACTTCTTTCGCCTTCTCTTCGATTATTGGTTGTGCCGTGGTCGTCGGGTCGGTTACCTGGATTTCGGTAAATTTGTAAAGTTATCTCAAGATTTTCTCAGCTGAGGATACCTGTGTAGTTTCTTGTACTGATTCAGTGGTGCTGGAAGGTGCTTCAGTGGTTGTTGTCTCCTTTTTGCGCCAACCGCAAAGAGATCGCAGCTCTTCTCGAATTTCCTTGGGTAGCTCAGCCAGATATAGCTTCTCCTGAAAACAGGAAGACGGAGATTTTAGACTAATCCTACAAAAAGTTGTGGAAAAGGGTAGGCGCTGCACGTTTTGTAAGCAAGAAATCTGAAAGGTTGTGTATATCCATGCAAATAAAGTGAAACCACATCCTCTTAGAAAGAAAAAATTCCCTTTTCAACTGCGTGTACTCATCGTGATCAAAAGCGATTACGAACCTGCATTCGTAGTTTTTTCCAACCTTCGTAAGCTTCTTTTGCAGCGGGCGAAAGAGCAGCGATCTTCTCTTCAAGCTCTTTCTTTCGCTGTTGTAGCTCCTCTTCCCATTTTACGTAAAGTGCAAGCTAAATATAATATTTTTTAGACGAAATCCACTTTTTTTGATAAGCGTCTACTCTAACCGATTCTCCGCTGAGCAAAGAATATGCGAGTCGCTTTAGAGTTAGTTCTTTGGCTTCTAAGCTAAGACGGTGATCGAACCTAAACTATCATGTGGTAAGGAATTAGTTAGTTTTGTAAGGAAACTACAGAAGTTCAGTCGCGATCATAATGCACAAAAATTAAATAAAATGTGGATGGGCCATACCAAACTGCACGGAATTCCCGTCTTACTGTAGACGAAACATTGCGAAGAAAACTTGGTCCACATTTTCCGCCCATAATTTTCTCTCGCTCTTCTTCAGAGAGACCATGAAGAATATCCCTAAGAGTAAAGTAACTTGTTCATTTCCTTGACAAAAAAAATTTCATACTTAGTCTGTTTGTGCTCCTTCATGCAATCATCTCCCTCCTTATAATTGCTCCAGATAGCTCGGACTTTCTCCTGTGCATCTTCTGGCAATTTGTCAACAAACGGAGGAAGTCCACATGGTGGTCCCTAGTAATAGAAGTAGTGCTTTCGAGAACTGCACAGTAGTCAAAAAATAGCTACGAACTCTGTTTGTCCATGGGCCAAGCGGGCTGAATGGATCGCCAAGTCTGGGAGGGTAGGCAAAACCAAGAATAGGAAGAGTCACGAGGCAAATTAGAGACTTCATCCTATAATAAATTTTTCGTAGTGATGAAAAATAAGGAGTACAGTTAGAGGAGGACAGGTAATACAGTTGTTGAAGTATGATGTGAGTTGTTTCAATAGCATATAGTCGCTCTCATTGCTGCGGTCGCTTGGTGCAATTGCACCATGCTGGAATTTACGGTAGAGCAGCATGGTGGCAACTATGTTGCTCCCGTATTTGAAGAAACAGAACTGAACGGCGAAGAAGTAAGATGAAAACGATTGCTATATGAGAAAAACGAGCATCTACTTTTGGACCAAGTTTGCGAGGCGCTAGTTTGCAAACTTGTGCAACTACAGAAAGCGACTGCGCTAAAGTCCGACTATATGCGTGCCTTAGCGGTTGCTAACGTTAGAGAACATGCAAGCCCGAGTGACCAGGGGCTCTTTATAGTGTCAGGGGGTGCGGCTTCTCGTTCAAAAAAGTTTCGTCAATCGGAACGACACTACAGCACAATGCGATGTGTGCGGTCATTGTGCAGAAGCGAGCCGGGCAAACACTTTGAGATGCAAGTCACGCGTCGAGCCTGGAACTCAACGCATGCGACAAGGAATGCGCGGTAGAGATGTGTCCTTTGGTTCGTAAGCTACTTCGGACAGCAAGATCATGCAAAGTTAGCGAAACAGCATATTTGGGAATATACTGGACCCAAAGGAAGGGAGAAGAATACAATCTGTAGCACAGTACGCAACATTTGGGGGTTACGCCTATCTATTTTCTCTTGGAGTTGAAAGGTATCATTCCCCATCTCAAAGTTATCATACTCTTTAGACGAAAATTTCCATATTATCCTGTAAAATTGTTGGGGAACCTTTTTTTGGAACCATCGGCTCAGCTACATCTTATAGTTAGAGAAACGAGAGCTGGAACCTTTCTACTGCACGCACTTGGATGATTCAAATTTCTGTCATTTTTCGAAATTATTGTTTATTTACTTATCATATATTTATTATTCCGTTTCTTACATATTTTTGACTACACCTTCTAACAAAATACAATTATTTTTATTTTCTTGTGGACATGCTAACCGTCGATGCGAACTCTACATGCAGTTTGTTGTGCACTGCACTGCTCAAATAAAACTTTAGAAGTTGACTTCACATAAAAAATCACCAGAAGACTTCTAGAACCTACAGTATCCGAGAGATCGAGCACGAGATGCCTAAGTTACAAAAGTTTCCGAGCGGTCTAAACTTGCTGGCACAGAAAATTGTCAGATGACATTTATAAGTTTCATTAGGGCCAACATTAAGAGTACTTTCAGCATATACAGCTTGAAAGTTTTTTTTTCAGATCAATGAGCATTTAGCCTCTCAACTCTCTTTTCATCGCTGATCCTTCATTCTCTCTTTCCGCCTCCTTCAAATTTCTCGTCTAAATGCACTTGTAAGTGCAGCCTGTTAAGCTCGCCACTTACGACACTCTGTTGACTTTTCCATCGTTTACACTAATCTGAGAGCTAACAAAAACGAATTTGACCTCAAATGCCTCCCACTTACACTTACCTCCTTCCCGAATGCCCTGACTGTCCGTTTTCTGGAATACAATAGGCATCACAATGGACATTGAAGCCTTCGCAATGTTTGTTGTAGTGTGAGAGATTTGGAACACGACTGTGTTGACATTTCGTCTGAGCCCGCCGAAATAGGAGCTAAGTGCGAGCTTTTTCATGAAACAGACATTCACTTTCCATTTTTGCTGAATCCATCGTCTAGACGTTTGTTGTTACACCAAATGTCTAGGAGTGTGACACTGCTTTATCGGGAATCCCCAACGTATAAAACGCTGACATAAGCCCATATATAAGCTTTACGTCAATTTCTCGCAGAACTTGGGTGAATGTATAGGCCATAGTCAACACAATCTAAATTATTTTACTGACGCAAGTTATAGTGAAACCAGTGGGGTCTCATGTGGCTGTGTTAAGTGTGATAGTTTTTCGCTGCTAGGCGTAGGGTTCTTCGATTATCTGGATTTTTGCCTTCTTTCATAGGCTGTATATGATGTGGGCCTTTTGTAAGCTGCAAGATGTCTTGTTTACTCTTAGTCCAAAATTTGTAAGTTCAAAACTCCATAATCCATGAAAGCGCAGGCGGGCAATAAACTGTGTTATGTAAGATGATTGATCTTCACAAGTTCAAAACTATTCTGTTTAGTCTTGCACTTGATTTCGTAATTTTGATTCATCTAGCTTAGTAAAAAAGAAACGGAATTTTAGACAAGCCGAGACCTGGCGCCATCACGAAGTTGCGAGTACGTAGGCTGTTGTGTGCAACCAACAATGAAGGGAGTCAAAATATCAGAATTCGCCGAGTCTTTTCACAGTGGGTTATTTTACCTTTCGAACACAAATACCACATTCATTTGTCGAATTATGCCCTCGTTTGGGGTGAGACACCATTTCATAAACTTGCTCTTCTTACAAAAAAGGCCCTGTCATGCAAATTCGCTATTGTTCTCGTGATCAGCGGACGTGGAGTACGACGCTTACGGGCATGCAGCTTTATTATAAT